AATATCTGTGAACCATAAATTTAATTGGACTGGACTAACTTCCGAACGTACCGCTTGTTAGCTTCATATATCCGAACACCTCGCGTCCATTTGAGTAACTAGTGGGAGCGAGCCATGCAAGTGCATGCATGCTTACTTCACATGCTTGTGCGTATGAAAGACACTAAATTAGAAAGCTAATCATATGCATGCATATAAGATAAAATTGATGACATCATTCTAGATTTTTTTATATTTCAAAACTTTAAAATGTTTTGTAGCTCGAACCGTCCGTCTGATTAAAAAGTCGTTTTAACATAAAAAATCCGTCGCGACGAGAGCTTCGAAATTAGATCTCATGTTGATATGTTTCGGCGACTTTTATTTTCGGTCAAAAAGTTACCACACGCGGGCTATGTAAGTTATCATGCTTGTGATACATAATTATCATGTTGCTTACATACTCCCTCCATCTTTTAAAGAGTGTACTTCCAACTTTGTTGGAAAGTCAAACTTTTTTATGTTTGACCATATTTATATAATAATACATCAACATTTATGTTATCAAATTACTAGCATTAGATTCAGGATAAAATATATTTTCATCATATACAAATTTGATTTTACAAACATTGATATATTTTTGCACAAACTCGATCAAACTTTGAGATATTTGACTCTTCAACAAAGTTGGAAGTACACTTTTTAAAGGACGGAGGGAGTAGAAATTACCGGGGCACAAAAGTGATTTCTCTTACCTTTTGGCCACAAGGACTAGATAAGAAAAAAAGGCACGGCCTTCAATCTTCTCCCCGCATGCACCTGCATACGTACACTAGAAGACCAAAACACCAATGTCATCCAAGAATCTCTCTGTTTTAAGACTTGAAAATGTGTTATAGCTCAAACCACCGGTCCGTTTGAAAAATTGTTTTCACATACAAAATTCATCGCAACGAGGCCTTCAAGACTATATCCCATATTGATATGTTCCGATGACTTTTTTACGTCAAAAGTTACCATGCTTGTAGTATGTATTATTTACACGGAAACTATTGGGGTATATTTTTCAACAAAAAATTTCTCCGGCATCAAAAGCTATGACGGTTTTCATGCGCAAGTTATCAGCTCCGATGTCCGTATATTATCATGTTATTTACATAGAGTTACCGGCTTATATTTTGAACAAAAAATTTCACCAGATCAAAAGTTCCCGCGGTGTTTGTATGTGAGTTATCAGCTCTACTGTGCGTGTATTACCATGTTATTTACACATAAATTACCGGGGTATATTTTTCAATATTTTTTCCCCTCAGGTCAAAAGTTATACACATGGGTTATCAACTCTGTTGTGCGTTTATTACCATGCTATTTACATAGAGTTACCAGCTTATGTTTACAATTTTTTTCTCTTGGGTCAAAAGTTACCGTGTTGTTTGTACACGAGTTATCAGCTCTGTTGTGCATGTACTACCATGCTATTTATACATAAGTTACCGGGGGTACGTTTTTCAACAAAATTTTCTCCTTAGGTCAAAAGTTACCGCAATGTTTATATATGGGTTATCAACTCTGTTGTGAGTATATTACCAATCGATTTACATAGGAGCTAGGAGGGTGTATTTTTCAGTAAATCTTTTTCTCCGGTCAAAAAGTTATTGTGGGGCTTGTACAAGAGTTGTCAACTCTGTTGTGCGAACATTATCATGTTGTTTACACAGAAATTATCAGGATATGTTTCAACATTTCTTTTTTGGGTCAAAGTTACCATGGTGTTTGTTTGTAAGTTATCAAGTCTACGATGCATAAATTATTGTGCTATTTACTCATAAGTTATCATGTGTAAGTTTCAATTACTTTTTTGCCTTCGGATCAAAGTTATCATGGTGTTTGCACCATAATTTACTAGGTCCACATGCGTCAAATACCATGCTATTTATGCACAAGTTACCGGGTATGTTTTCAACATCATTTTTTCCCCTCGGATCGAAGATTTACCGCGTGTTTGTGCTTAAGTTTATCAAATATGCGATGCGTAAAATACCGTACTATTTATTTAGAAGTTACATTTTTTTAGTTACGACAGGTTAACCCGATTGGGTTCACAATTTACATGTATATAAAAAGTTAGCATTGTGCACATGACATAGATAGGTTAAGTGGTTAGCTAGTCCAATTTAACCACCTAAAAATCACTTCGAACGTGAGTTCGAATTCTATCACCCACACATTGTTTTTGACTTAAAAATTAGCAGGTCCATTAATTACGCCAAATGACTCCTTGAACGCATGGAATTAGGAGGCCCATTAATCACGTTATTTAAGAGGCCGAGACATAATGGTAATTAACGGGCAGGCGCAATGAATTAGGAGGATCATTAATCAGGCTAATTAAGAGACCCGAAGGAAAAATCGCATCCTACACGTAAATCATGGCGGAATAAGGGGAAGCGGAATCGCAGCCGTTTGATCAAAATCTGACGCTGCAAAGGTCGTTCGGATCTAAAGCGAAAATCCGAACGGCAGGATTTTAGCTTTGTCGAATTTAATTTGCACAAGGTGTCCTATATTAATGTAACTTCGGATATTCTAACTACGGAGATGTTGCTAGTTATTACTAAAACAGGTCAAAGAAAAAATGGTTGACTTTTCTACCACTGAGTTCATGTAGGTCTGGCGACATCCCCGGCGGCTCTCCTTCTCAGTCGGTCCCATGGTGGCCAGCGGGAGGTGAGTTGGATTCCTTAAGCACATTGTCCTTGTAGTTGTAGTCCTAGTTGAAGTTTGCTTAGACAGGGTTTTGGTTCTCTATGACTTCAGCTCCGAATGTAGTGATGGCAGCGGCGAATAAATTTCTCCACCTCCCAGGCTCCCGCTGAAGTGGACTCTTCGATCTTTTTTACACAGTACAATCGCACATACTAATAAAAATGCACATGCATTCATCCCTATAAACGCACACACGTACGCCCATTCTGATGAGCGCCCCGAAATACCGAGCCGACATAACATCTTCGGATTTACAAAGTCACCACAGTTGTCGAAAAGCCTAAAAAAGATTTAGGAAAATGCATATATACATCAGTGAACACTGATGGGTTGGTCCCACCATAAACAATCTAATTATTTGAGCTACACTTGTATTTGAGCTACACTTGTCAGAGTTGGATCTAAAAGGTGGTGTTTGCAACGTCTGGATTCTTTCACTCCTGGGCGATCAAATTGTGTGTCTTCGCGGTGGGGTTGTAGCAGCACGCTCGTCATGTCTTACCCTTCCCCTTGTTCTCTTTCTCAGGGTGATCCGTGGCCACCGGTCTCTTTTGACATGGCCCGTCAGTTTCTCATCTGCCGACTCGAAGTCTTGCTGGTGCGGGAGTAGTGTCGAGTTTAGCACATCTCCAACGCCGACCCTTAAACTGCCCGCATGAGTCCGGACCACGCGGTCTGGACGTGCTATGCCATTCAATGTGGACCTGTCCGCCAAGCAGTCCGGACGTCCTTTTCTCCGCAAACCGGAGACAATCTAGGGGGCTTTGCCGGCGTTCGGACTGCTGCCACGTCTGCCCATGACCGCTACCACGTCCCCTCCTGACCGCTGCCACGTTCGCTCCTGGCCACCCTGGCCCACAATAAAATCCCAACTGCCTCTCTCTCGCTTTCCATCAAACGCCCGTGCCGATTGCCGCGCCGCATTAATGCCGACCTAGAGCTTGACCGGAATGGAGGGAAGCACAGATAGACGCGATCACTCGGGTGTCGCCTCCGTCGCCGGATAAAGGAGGAGCTAGTCCCCGCGATCATGAGGGCGCATGGCCGCCTCCTCCACTACCTCGGAGGAGGCGGTTACGGTGGTGCCTCTGGCTCGAGGGCCGTGGTACCCGAGGCGGAGCGCGCGGCGAGACATCAGGCGAGGTACGACCAGAGCAATGTCGGTTAACACTCGACGTTCGCCAAGACGGACGTGGCGCTGGAATGGGTCCGCAACGACTCCGATCTCCTGGCCACGTGGGTGCTCGACTTCTCCGTCGCCTCCGTGCAGATGGCCGCTAGGCGCCGGCGTCGCTTTGACCGCGAGGAATGGTCGCTTAGCGACTGCTCCACCAATGCCGGCAGGGGCAAGGCCGCCTCAAAGTTTCATTGTTTTTTTGTTCATGTTAGCCTGTATTTCTTCATAAATCATGTGCTTTGCACTAGGATGTTCATTGCTGGAAGTTGGTTAGCCTGGTATTGGTTGCTCTGTTTGCTCCGTATCATATTTGTGCAAGAATAGGCATGTTTCGTTTCTTCAGTTCCTCTTGTTCACGTAGGCTTTCATTACTTTGTGCTAGAACTGGGACTAAGTGGGATCCGACTTAGCCCATGTAATCCATGTAAATTTTAGTGGGAATGTGGGATGTTTGATATTGCCCACCAAACCATGTTGGGACTGGGTGGGCTGTGGTGGGATGCCCACGAACAGTCCCACCTGTCGCCTGAATTCATCATCATCAACCATTGGCGTGTGGATCGGAGCTCCAACCGGGCAGCCCCCTTTCAATTTAACTGCTCAAACGGAAATGATCCAGTAGTAAAAACAAGTTTTAGTCCAGCTCGTCATTCGGAGCTGTACATGAAATACAAACTTCTCTAAAAGAAGATACAAACGCTACTCGTAATGAAACACTTCCTGAATAAGACCCAATCCTATTCGTATTCTCATTCCCTCCTGGAGCGCTGGACGCATAACAGAAACCACCGAATGAGATGCATAGAGAAACGTCATTCCTATTCTCGTATTCTCAATTGGACCAGGAATAGATCCTGCACCAACAAATGGAGAATCATATGCTATCTATGTGCTGGAAGCGACTCACACTCCGCGTACGTAGCATCCACTTATTAGTTTAGAAGGCAACAGAATAAATCGGCATGGAACTCAAAGCAATTAAGCTTGAGTTAAGGTGAACATCGGCCGGGTCGACAAAAAAGCCCAGGCGGCAAGGCTCACCTTGACCCATCAAGTTCGATCGGCCGCACCCAAAATGGACGGCACCGGTGGTGGTCGCGAGTATGGCGGCAGGGTCACCGCGTTCGTGGCGCTCTCTTGCGTCACGGCGTCCATGGGCGGCGTCATCTACGGCTACGACATCGGTGTTGCGGGCGGCGTGTCGTCCATGGAGCCGTTCCTCAGGGAATTCTTCCCGGACGTGTACCGCAGGATGAAGGGCGACTCACGTGTCAGCAACTACTGCAAGTTCGACAGCCAGCTCCTCACGCTCTTCACCTCGTCGCTCTACATCTCCGGGCTGTTCACGGCGGTGCTACTATCGTCGTGGGTCACGGCCCGCTGCGGGCGCCGGCCCTCCATGATCGTTGGTGGCACGGCATACCTCGCCGGCGCAGCAGTCAGTGGCGGGGCCGTGAACGTGTATATGGCCATCCTCGGTAGGGCGCTGCTCGGTGTCGGGCTAGGATTTGCCAACCAGGTCAGAAGTGATACCATATATATATATGTGCAACAACCAAACATTTTAAAATTCTAGTTAACATGGCCTACAAAGATTTGTGTCAGCCAAATCTCTTTGGTGTCAACAGGCAGTGCCACTCTACTTATCTGAAATGGCACCGACACGATACAGGGGAGCCTTCAGCAATGGCTTCCAGTTCAGCCTATGTCTCGGAGATCTCGCCTCGACCATCACCAACTACGGTGTGGAGAAGATCAAGGCAGGTTGGGGCTGGAGGCTCTCGCTGGCCTTGGCCGGTATCCCTGCCGTGTTTCTCACCGTCGGCTCCATCTTCCTGCCGGAGACACCCAACAGCCTCGTCCGACAAGGTAAAGACCATTTAGTGGTCAAGGCATTACTGCACAAGATGAGAGGCTTTGAAGCCGTCGACCAAGAGCTAGATGATATCATCGCTGCTAACATCCTAGCTACAAAGCCCGGCGACAACGGCATGCACATGATCTTGTCACAGCGGCGGTACCGCCCACAGCTTGCCATGGCCATCCTGATACCATCCTTCTCACAGGTGAGGCTACAGATGAAATGGGATATACTAGCATTTAAAAATATGGCAAGTTAGTACCATGCACTTCGGAGAGCATTCATTGTTATTCTTATCCTTTTTCTTCTTCTTCTTCTTCTGTGCGACAGCTTACCGGAATCAGTGCCATTGGGTTCTACGCGCCGGTGCTGCTACGCAGTATCGGCGTGGGTGAGAGTGCATCCCTGATGTCAACCATCATCCTCGTTTTTGTCTCCTCGGTGTCAACACTAGTATCCATGTTCACCGTCGATCGCTTTGGTAGGCGGACCCTCCTTCTCATCGGTGGCATCCAGATGATCATCTGTGAAGTCCTTATCGGTGCTATCATGGTTGCAAAGCTTGGCGATGAGGGTGGGATCAGCAAGACGTATGCTATCATCCTCATTTTTCTCATGGGTGTCTATGTAGTGGGCTTCGGATTGTCATGGGGCCCGCTGGGCTGGCTAGTGCCCAGCGAGATTTTCCCATTGGAGATCAGGTCAGCCGGGCAAAGCATCACTGTGGCCTCGTGCTTTGCGTTCACCATATGCATTTCACAGTTCTTCCTGGCCATGCTATGCCAGATGAAGGCATACTTGTTCTTTTTCTTTGCCGGATGGATCATGGTGATGACGGCTTTTGTCTACTTCTTCTTGCCCGAGACCAAGGGGCTGCCGATTGAGCAAATTGGCAAGGTGTGGGGGAAGCACTGGTTCTGGAAGAAGGTTCTGGGGGTTGGTGAGGTGACTGCAAGCTATTGAGAAGCTCTCAAAGTTATATTTGTATTTCATGTAATTATTCTGCGCTTGTTTTTGTCTCGGTTGTCTAAATTGTACAAATAAACTATTTTTCAAGCAGCTATGATGATAGATGTGTGTAGTTTTGTAAACTTGTTGTGCAAAAACCTTAAATTATTGGTTAACTATTTTGCACAAGCTGAAGTTATGTACATAGATTCAAATTATGCAAGCAGATAGTTTTTTTTTTGAGAAATTGCAACCAGATAGTTGTGTGTTGACGCCTAACTCACAACGAGAAATTTTAGTGAGACTTCGGGTGACCAATGGGCCATTTTTGGTTGTGGGCTGAGGCCTAGTTTTGTCGGCTTACGCGAATTTTCCTTTTCGAGGATTTTGTGCTCCTAGGCTAAAAGTCTTGTGTGCTTCCATGGGTATTTCGGGCCAACAATTTTTTAGAAAAAAATTACTCTGTATTGTTAGTGTTTTCTTAATTATTCTAATGATTCTTAGACAATGATGGTATCTTTAAAATCTCCTGAAAATTATGTAAAACCAGTGTTTGAGGTTGTAGACTTTGCTTTACGCTTTTGTACTGCAATCAGAAACTTTGCATCATAAATTTGTTGTGTGCACCACTCGATGCAAAAGCTGGAATTGAACCTCCTTTCCAAAAAGAAAAAAAAATATGTCTGTGCTGAACATGCGATGGGAAGACAACATGAGTCCACTTTGGACATTACTGAAAAACGAGTCCACTTTGGACATGCTAAAATACTCGTCACTATCCACCTCTGCAGACCTAAGAGATTCTCCACTATCATAAGAGTAAATTCAACTGGCGTGCAAAATATCAGGCGCGCTGGATAAACCGCCAGTTTGGTGCGTGAGAGGCCGCGCGGCGCACTCCAGCAGACGCACGAAAGTTAGGCGTCCGAAAAAAATTGGCCCGCGCGCGGGAAAATGCGGCAGCGCGTGCAGTAGTTTTGGCACGCGACGCCCAGCGAGCTGGTTAAAAGCCGCGCACCGGCGCCCCCAACCGCCACGATTTCCCTCCCGCCGCGACTTCTTCCTCGCCTCTTCCAGCACCCTGCTGCCACCGCGCCTTCTCCCTCGCCCCACCGCCGTCGCGCCTTCTCCCGTCCCGCCTCTTCCAGCGCCCGCCATGCCGCCACGCCCCTGGAGCAGCTCGGGCTTCCGCGATGCCCGACTCCGCCCCTCTGGCGTGTATTACGCGAAGATCCGCTCCGGCGATACACGCCTCGGGCTCGGAACATTAGAGACCGTCCACCAGGCCGCCCGCACGTATGACGCGACGGCGTGGCGCCTCGGGCGACCACGATCGCAGAATAACTTCTCCGACATGCGGACACGCGAGCAGGTGCAGGAACTCGCACCTCCCCGCGACTAATTACCAACAAGCTAGTTGCAAAAAACGGACAAGGACTTGCTTTGCCAGTTGCCATGGTCGTCGACAAGGACGTTCACTAGGCAGGCACCAGCAAGTTTAATCCCCCCGTCTGCAAAACATAGTAGTACGTTCCAACAACCATGCGCACCACAAGGCCGAGGATGATGTCTCACCGGCTCGTCCTGTCCGTGGCCATCGTCGCGGCCCTGCTTGTGCCCGGCGCCACGGGATACCCGTGGAAGGACTGCGGCGACGGCCAATTCGCGGCCGGCAGCAAGTACCTGGCCAACATCAACCTCCTCGCGGTCTCGCTCCCCAAGAACGCCGCGGTGTCCCCGGACCTCTTCGCCACCGCCGAGGCCGGCGCCGCCCCGGACAAGGTCTGGGCCCTCGCGCTCTGCCGCGGCGACGCTAACGCCACGTCCTGCCTCAGCTGCCTCGCCCAGGCCTTCCGGGACCTGCCCAACGTGTGCGACTACAGCAAGGTGGCCACCATGTACTACGACTCGTGCACGCTCCACTACTCCAACGCCTCCCGGGACCCGGCGCCGGTGGCGGCGCGGACGTATAGGTACTGGGAGAGCACAAATGTCACGTCCGAGCAGGCCTAGTTCAACAGCCTCGTGGCCAGGCTCGTGAACGCCACCGCGGACTACGCCGCGTACAACTCCACGCGCCGGTACGCCTCCGGGGAGGCCGACTTCGACCGGGAGTTTCCCAAGATCTACAGCTGGGCGCAGTGCACGCCCGACCTCACCGGGCCGCAGTGCCGACAGTGCCTCGCCAAGAACACGGTGCTGCTGCCGGAGTATTTCGTGGACAGCACAGGAGCCAGAGCTCTGCAGGTCAGGTGCAGCTTCCGGTACCAGACCTATTCCTTCTTTGATGGCCCTGTCATGGTGCGGCTGCCAGCACCATCATCGAGCACCCAAGCACCCGCGCCTGCTCCTGCGCCTGTTGCGGTACCCACGGGTTTGACGCCGAAGCCGGCGACGGCATCCACAGAAGGTGAGCTTTAATTTTCACCCTACCATGCTTGCATTTGCCTTGCCAACGATTTAGCACAGTGATTGACAACAAACCATTCAGTGTCAAACTTTGCCAAATTTTGAAGCACGCTAATAACTTTTCTGTACCTACCTTCTAACAAAAAGGAGCCATGTGGAAAATACTGTCGAGTTAGAGGGCCTAGAGAAAAAAAGTTTAAGTTTACAAACCAAGTGAGATAGCAACCCAAATTTTGAGAGAAATATGAAAAAAAAAACAGTTTTGCTAGAACTCATCTAGATGAGATATAATTTGGTTTCATTCACCTTTTATAGCCATTGGATGTGATGCTATAAGATGCGTGTATGCTGACGTGGGTTGTATCTATTCTTGTTTCCAAAGTGAATGGGACCAAATTATATCTCATTTAGATGAGTTCTAGGTACTCCCAAAAAAAAAATCCCTTTTCTAACACATGTTTTCCATTTGAGCTGACATTTTTATTGTACATTGCTCAATTCACAGGTAGAAAATACAGTGTCCCTGGCATTGTTCTTATTATTCTGCTGCCTACTGTAGCTGCCATAAACCTTGTGGCTTGCTTCTTTTTCTGGAGAAGGAAGCGGCCACTAGCAAAAACAAAACACTCAGGTATGTGCAAAATTCACCAATTTACAACGGGAAATATTTCAAAGGACCGAAAACGACCTAGACCCTGTACTCGATCGTTGTGACATTGTTATCCACCATTAAACAGATCCCAGTTATTTCGCCGACGAGGAGGACAATGAAAGTGTAGACTCGATGTTGATTGACATTTCAACCTTGCGAGTTGCAACCGGGAATTTTGCAGATAGCAACAAGCTTGGTGATGGCGGATTTGGTGCCGTGTACAAGGTGCTAAATAGACATATTTCTACTAAAATTGCCAACCATATTGAGATTTTGTTAATTGAGCTTAACTTTGGTTCAATCTTTTAGGGTATTCTTCCAGACGGTGACGAAATAGCAGTGAAGAGACTATCAAAGAGCTCAACACAAGGAGTAGAGGAGCTCAAAAATGAACTCTCTTTGGTTGCAAAGCTTAGGCACAAGAACCTTGTCACACTTCTTGGCGTCTGCTTGGAGCAACAAGAGAGGCTGCTTGTCTACGAGTTCGTTCCTAACCGAAGCCTCGACCTCTTCCTTTTCGGTACTTACAACTGAAGCATGCTCAAGTCAATTATGGCCTCCTTCTCGCTACATATTCAACATTAATATATTCTATGTCCATTTAATTTAATAATAATAAGCAGATGCTGAGAAACATGTAGAACTGGATTGGGAAAAGAGGTACAAGATCATTAATGGAATTGCTCGAGGATTGCAATACCTCCATGAAGACTCCCAGCTCAGAGTGGTCCACCGTGATCTCAAAACTAGCAACATATTGCTTGACAAAGATATGAATCCGAAGATATCAGATTTTGGAATTGCGAGACTATTTGGGCAAGACCAGACCCATGGAATAACGAAACATGTCGTCGGCACATAGTAAGTACTATAACACTTATATCTGGCTAATCCAAGTGGTATGTTGCTTAATAATCTAGTGGTAAGTGGCTAAATATAGTGTACCCCACCATGTTCTTACAGCGGATATATGGCACCGGAGTACGTGATGTGTGGGAACTACTCTGTGAAATCTGATTCATCCAGCTTCGGCGTCATGGTTCTTGAGATTGTGACGGGAAGGAAGAACAATGACTACAATAATTCTGAGAAATCTCAAGATCTTCTGAATGTGGTATGTGCTTGTTGTTCGAATATCTAATCACCATTATTACTAGAGAACAACGTGTTAACCACTTAGTTGACCATAGTTTTTTTCTAACGAGGCAAAAATTTATCCATTTCATTAATTAAGAAGAGAGCTTTCCGATTAATTAGAGGAAAAACTGGTGAAAACATGCACTTCGACTTTTAAGCTCATGGCTTCCAAAAATGGTGCAGATGTGGGACCGTTGGATGGCCACAACAGTGTTGGACATGATGGATCCGTGCATGAACACCAGCTTCTCAGAGAGCTGCGTGCTAAGATGCATCCATATAGGGCTTCTGTGTGTTCAAGAAAACCCGGCTGATCGACCACTTATGTCGTCTGTGGTCATGATGCTCGGAAGCGATACCGTGCCTCTCTCTGCCCCATCTAAGCCGGCGTTCTACACCAAGGAGGCTAGCGACAACTTGGGCATCGAGTCACATCACCGTCGGCTCCATCTTCCTGCCGGAGACACCCAACAGCCTCGTCCGACAAGGTAAAGACCATTTAGTGGTCAAGGCATTACTGCACAAGATGAGAGGCTTTGAAGCCGTCGACCAAGAGCTAGATGATATCATCGCTGCTAACATCCTAGCTACAAAGCCCGGTGACAACGGCATGCACATGATCTTGTCACAGCGGCGGTACCGCCCACAGCTTGCCATGGCCATCCTGATACCATCCTTCTCACAGGTGAGGCTACAGATGAAATGGGATATACTAGCATTTAAAAATATGGCAAGTTAGTACCATGCACTTCGGAGAGCATTCATTGTTATTCTTATCCTTTTTCTTCTTCTTCTTCTTCTGTGCGACAGCTTACCGGAATCAGTGCCATTGGGTTCTACGCGCCGGTGCTGCTACGCAGTATCGGCGTGGGTGAGAGTGCATCCCTGATGTCAACCATCATCCTCGTTTTTGTCTCCTCGGTGTCAACACTAGTATCCATGTTCACTGTCGATCGCTTTGGTAGGCGGACCCTCCTTCTCATCGGTGGCATCCAGATGATCATCTGTGAAGTCCTTATCGGTGCTATCATGGTTGCAAAGCTTGGCGATGAGGGTGGGATCAGCAAGACGTATGCTATCATCCTCATTTTTCTCATGGGTGTCTATGTAGTGGGCTTCGGATTGTCATGGGGCCCGCTGGGCTGGCTAGTGCCCAGCGAGATTTTCCCATTGGAGATCAGGTCAGCCGGGCAAAGCATCACTGTGGCCTCGTGCTTTGCGTTCACCATATGAATTTCACAGTTCTTCCTGGCCATGCTATGCCAGATGAAGGCATACTTGTTCTTTTTCTTTGCCGGATGGATCATGGTGATGACGGCTTTTGTCTACTTCTTCTTGCCCGAGACCAAGGGGCTGCCGATTGAGCAAATTGGCAAGGTGTGGGGGAAGCACTGGTTCTGGAAGAAGGTTCTGGGGGTTGGTGAGGTGACTGCAAGCTATTGAGAAGCTCTCAAAGTTATATTTGTATTTCATGTAATTATTCTGCGCTTGTTTTTGTCTCGGTTGTCTAAATTGTACAAATAAACTATTTTTCAAGCAGCTATGATGATAGATGTGTGTAGTTTTGTAAACTTGTTGTGCAAAAACCTTAAATTATTGGTTAACTATTTTGCACAAGCTGAAGTTATGTACATAGATTCAAATTATGCAAGCAGATAGTTTTTTTTTTGAGAAATTGCAACCAGATAGTTGTGTGTTGACGCCTAACTCACAACGAGAAATTTTAGTGAGACTTCGGGTGACCAATGGGCCATTTTTGGTTGTGGGCTGAGGCCTAGTTTTGTCGGCTTACGCGAATTTTCCTTTTCGAGGATTTTGTGCTCCTAGGCTAAAAGTCTTGTGTGCTTCCATGGGTATTTCGGGCCAACAATTTTTTAGAAAAAAATTACTCTGTATTGTTAGTGTTTTCTTAATTATTCTAATGATTCTTAGACAATGATGGTATCTTTAAAATCTCCTGAAAATTATGTAAAACCATTGTTTGAGGTTGTAGACTTTGCTTTACGCTTTTGTACTGCAATCAGAAACTTTGCATCATAAATTTGTTGTGTGCACCACTCGATGCAAAAGCTGGAATTGAACCTCCTTTCCAAAAAGAAAAAAAAATATGTCTGTGCTGAACATGCGATGGGAAGACAACATGAGTCCACTTTGGACATTACTGAAAAACGAGTCCACTTTGGACATGCTAAAATACTCGTCACTATCCACCTCTGCAGACCTAAGAGATTCTCCACTATCATAAGAGTAAATTCAACTGGCGTGCAAAATATCAGGCGTGCTGGATAAACCGCCAGTTTGGTGCGTGAGAGGCCGCGCGGAGCACTCCAGCAGACGCACGAAAGTTAGGCGTGCGAAAAAAATTGGCCCGCGCGCGGGAAAATGCGGCAGCGCGTGCAGTAGTTTTGGCACGCGACGCCCAGCGAGCTGGTTAAAAGCCGCGCACCGGCGCCCCCAACCGCCACGATTTCCCTCCCGCCGCGACTTCTTCCTCGCCTCTTCCAGCACCCTGCTGCCACCGCGCCTTCTCCCTCGCCCCACCGCCGCCGCGCCTTCTCCCGTCCCGCCTCTTCCAGCGCCCGCCATGCCGCCACGCCCCTGGAGCAGCTCGGGCTTCCGCGATGCCCGACTCTGCCCCTCTGGCGTGTATTACGCGAAGATCCGCTCCGGCGATACACGCCTCGGGCTCGGAACATTAGAGACCGTCCACCAGGCCGCCCGCACGTATGACGCGACGGCGTGGCGCCTCGGGCGACCACGATCGCAGAATAACTTCTCCGACATGCGGACACGCGAGCAGGTGCAGGAACTCGCACCTCCCCGCGACTAATTACCAACAAGCTAGTTGCAAAAAATGGACAAGGACTTGCTTTGCCAGTTGCCATGGTCGTCGACAAGGACGTTCACTAGGCAGGCACCAGCAAGTTTAATCCCCCCGTCTGCAAAACATAGTAGTACGTTCCAACAACCATGCGCACCACAAGGCCGAGGATGATGTCTCACCGGCTCGTCCTGTCCGTGGCCATCGTCGCGGCCCTGCTTGTGCCCGGCGCCACGGGATACCCGTGGAAGGACTGCGGCGACGGCCAATTCGCGGCCGGCAGCAAGTACCTGGCCAACATCAACCTCCTCGCGGCCTCGCTCCCCAAGAACGCCGCGGTGTCCCCGGACCTCTTCGCCACCGCCGAGGCCGGCGCCGCCCCGGACAAGGTCTGGGCCCTCGCGCTCTGCCGCGGCGACGCTAACGCCACGTCCTGCCTCAGCTGCCTCGCCCAGGCCTTCCGGGACCAGGGTTTTGGATTTCGGTTTGCAGAATTTTTCGCCCCAGGGCGAAATGGCCGAAAATCGGGTTTTCAGAAAAATTTCGGGAAACTTCGGACGAAAAGCACAAACCAAAATTTGAATTTTGGGACGAAAAATGACCGAAATTTGAACGAAATTGACCGAAATTTGCCCAGAAATTTGAAATAGCCACAAGAAAACATGTACAAGCAAAATATAGAATCACAAAGCAGCAATTTACATGTTATACCAGATTAGAACTCCATCTCAATGGTAAACATCGGTTCAGAGCATGATATAACATCCAGTAGTCCAGATCTACTCAATAGGCTAGTTAACAGTCCATATTAGCCCAAGGTACACACATAACAGTGCATATTAGAACTTCAAATTACAGTCCAAAATACCCACACACCAATCCCTACTACGAGTCCAAAATACACACACAATAGTCCAGATTCACAATCCACAAGTCATAGAGCAGAAGTAATCGAAGTTCAAACCAGCGCCTCCAAAACACATCAGGTAGACTTCAATTTTCTTCCAGTCTTCAGTCTTGCATGAAACAAAAATGCAAATATGGTCAGAGGCTTCATAAATATTGCAATACAAAACATCAGTTATGTGTACATGAAACAAAAATGTCTAGCATTACAAATTATATAAACGGCATGGATGCTAGCATTGCAAAGTATGTCCAGGCAGTAAGCTTCTACCATGTTATTTATTACTAACGCAAAAACATGAGTGCAGTATGAAGAAAAATATACAACCAGAAGCTAGCTCATATAAGAAAAAGTAACTTGTTACCTAATAGTAAAGGGAGTTGACGTCCTTGACCTTCTTGGCTTGCCGTCCAGATCTACGATTCACCATATTTTCATCCCTTGTTACCTCAATATCATTCACTTGGCTTCGTGCATCTTTTTCAGCTTGTCTTGGCAAACCTTCTCCATCAGATTCATAATCCTCTTCTTGGCCATCATCACCATCATCAATGTCCATGGATCCATTCGCTTCATCATCATCCTCACTGCTAATGAACTCATCCTCCTCATCTTCACGTACCCTCTTTCCTTTCCTGCTAATTTCCTTCCTTCCAAGATGAGAGGCTTTCCTCCTTGAGTTAAGGCGACGTATTTCCTCCAACACAGCAGTAGCAGCATCAGATCCATCAAGGACTATATGCTCTTCATCCTCGTTCAGCCACTCCATCATTGGGTTTGATTCGTCATGCATAACTGTATCCATCATCACTGCACATGGATCAATTTCCTTCTCCCTATAACTCAGCTTCACAATATCTTCATCTTCTTCAGCACGTAACTACAATGTATAAAAACAGAACCCAAGATTTAGCAAAGTAAATACTTGTAGCATAGCTAAGTTGAGACTTTATGCATAGACCATGGCAAACATACCTTCAGGTTGTAGCGTACAGAAACACTTTTGTGAAGCTTGCAGTATAGAAGGCGATTTCTTTGCTTCGTGTGGACCAAGGCAAAAGCAGTCCAATTCCTCTCACAGCCACTTGAAGAGACACACTGTGAAACAATTCTCAATGCCCACTTCTGCAAATTAGGAACTTCCCCTCCAAACTGGAACCACCACTCAGCTGCATGGTTAAAACAAAGTTAGAGATGCTGAAATGAAGTTGCAACATGAGGCAATAGAGCTAATCAATGGAGATAAGTATCGTGGTTTACTTGGTGCCATTCTTTCTGCGGAAGAGCGTGCCAAACTATGCCTAAACCTCCCACGACATTCCCTATAAGTGCTGATTTCATTGATAGCCAAAAGAGCGCTCTCAGGGTCTGCTATCTTCTCGATGACATCCGTTAGTGCAGAAGCATATTCTGGAAGGTTGCTCAAATTCACCCGATAATGTGTGAACGGATCAAGGACAGCAGCTGTATAAGAAAAGGAGAATCAAGAGAAGTTAATAACCATAAGAAAAAAGCAACAAAATTTCAGTTTCATTAACTTAGTATCTACCTGCAACCATTAGTGTCTCATTTTGCATATCTTCCATCCTCGGGGACACCTTGCTCATGACTCTATCTAACATCTGTGACCCACCACCAAGATGAGAACTCATCTTTTGTATGGCTGTCATCATAGTCTTCTTGAAACCAGATAGAGTACATTTCTTTTGTGTATCAGCATATCTGAGGGCTACATAGAGTGGCTCAAGCAAATCAAGAACCCATTCTAAGGCTGTCCACCACATGTTACTGGATAGCAACTCTTCAGCAAACACATGGTCCGCATCATTCTTCCAAATACTGTTCTTCCAGTCGTCGGACACCATCCATTTCCTAAATTTATCTTTCTTCTCCAAATAACTCTCAAGGAACATAAACACAGTTCCAAACCGGGTGGCATTCGGTTTAATCAACTCACCACCAACGTTCTTCCTCATGCTATCATGTAGGTTGTTGTGATTATAAAAAAACCTACAGATTTGCTTGGCACTTTTGACTATCACATCAACCTCAGGAAACTTACCTATGTCTTTAAGCATTAGATTAACCGTGTGGGCTGCACATGGCTGCCAAACAATATGACTGAATTCTGGTTGTTCAACAAGAGTTTTACAAGCTTTCTTGTAATTTGAGCCATTATCAGTAACAATCTGAACTACATTTTCGTGGCCTATATCTTCAACAACAACCTGTTTAATCTCTCTATAGAGAAATTCTGCAACGTAGACAAAGTACTCTATTATAAACGTTTGGCTTCCTCAACTTGAAATGCATCATGATATCAAATAAAAACAGAACAAATATGCTAGAATTAATAACAAAACAGAAATATAGAGCATCATAGTAGAAAGAATTGCAATAGTCATAATTAACCAGAAATAACCCTTTCTCAAAAAATCTAACCTGAATTTTGAGACTGGCCAGAAGCATCAATGGATTTATGGAAGAACATCCGTGTATTGCAATAGACCATGAAATTGATAAGACTCATGCCAGTAGGCCTAGTCCAGGAGTCACACATAACAGTTACACCATAGTTCTTCCAATCTTGCTTGAATAGCTTCAGCCACTCTCGAGACTCTTCATAATTTTTGTCTAAATACTTCCCATCAATCTCTTTTCCAGTTGGAATAGGAGCAGCACCAAGATTTTGAGTGATCTTCATGGCAGCCTGAAAATATTGACAGTCAGCTTTTCGACCAGCGATGTCATTTGCATGAAAAAACTTCGCCAAGCTTGGCCAACAACATCCCTTGAGCTGCTATCCATAGCAGTGCTGATCTTGGGTTGCATTGATACTTTGTTGCTCGACAATTGCTTGTCAAAGTAGGCTGTGATACTCTGTTTCCCAAGGGAAACGCGAACACCACCGCCACTACCACGCCTCCTCTCAACTGCACGAGATACATTCCTGTAAAACATAAGTAAAAAAAGTTCAACTCAATATGTATGATGATATCAAGTAAAGCAAGAGTAAGGCATAATACAAAGAACTCTAAATGCATCATGATATAAAGTAAAACCAGAATAAGACAAAATAAAGTAAAAACAGAACATTCCTGTCTCTTAGTGACTCCCGTAGTGCCATATGAATTTCTTCATCTTTATCATCATCAATATTTATCACACCATTTCTCTGGTACATCTCATCCATCAACTCACGTTCAAATCTAAGCTTACGACTTTCCTTCTCCCTCTTCTTTTTCCTCATCTCAAGCACGGCCTTCCTCATTATATCATGCACATTTCTTGGAACATTTGGGCACTCCTTCACTTCACCTACTATCTTGCCAAGATGCTCTTTGAAGCGGGTTGCACCTCCTCCAGAATTCTTCATGTTGCAATACCGACAATGAAATCCTCCTCCGTGCTTGGGGCCATGGTTCCACACATGATGTATGTCGTTGGTCTTAAGTCCTGCATTTCAAAATGCAAGCACCATGTTAACAATGAAACGAATAAACCACTCTTGTAATAGGCAAAAACAATGCATACATTGCATAGGCAAAAACAGAATTAAACAACTAAACAAAAATAGACAGAACAGAATTAAGCACAAGTAAAAAATGCATTGGCAAAAACAGAACTAAGCAAGCAAATGGAATTAGATTTCCACAAAATATGCGTAGGTAAAATCAGCATTAAAAAACTAAACAAAACTAGAATAAGTACAAGTAGTGCTAGTAAGAAATTACAGAACAGGTAGAATTAAAATCATTTAGGTGCTTCACAAATTACAGGGGTAAAACATAGGGAACAAAGAGAAATACAAAAAGCAAGAGTAACACGGTATCAACCTTTAAAAGGTGCCTCTCTTGTTGCTGAACCATTCCTGATCAGACCATCATCTTCATCGTCTAAGTTGACAGTATCACTCCTTCTAGCATCGATGCCTACCCTCTTACGAGAGGAGCCTATAAAATACCGGTGTTAGTTTTCATCAAGAAGAACTTTTACAAGCTATAGCTTACATAAGCTAGAATTAAACATCTACGTAGCATAAGCTAGCATAAACTACGCAAGAAGATCTACTGATTCAAATTAGGACGGCCGGCCGGAAAGTAAAACTGCTACAAAAGCTAGCAACCACATGTATTATGTAATCTATCTACAAACTATATGCTAACGCAAATGCTAAATAAACATGCACGCACAGTAAGGCTGAAAGGCTCACCTTGCCCAGCTTGTGCATCGGCAGCTCCAAAGCCGCTGCCCAAGTCCAGCCCCATATTCGGCCGGACGTGGCCACGCCCCATGGCTCCCTCATTGTCGACCCAGTCGCCCCGTGACCTCGATCTTCTATGGCTGCCACCGCCAACTGGGTCGCCGGCCGGACGGCTGCTGTCGAGAAAGCCTTCCTCATCCATGGTCGCGGATGGAAGAAGGGGAGAACGGACTATGGGGAGGGACAGGGAGTGGTGATCTCTCGAGGCGACGGGGAGGAGGGAGATGGGCAGAGACGGCGCCGCGCCCCCGCCTCACTCGGCTTCGTTGTCTGCAGCCGCCGCACAGAGGAGTGGAGAGTGGAGAAAATGAAATTAGGGCTACGGTAGGGTTTGGTTTGAGCTTTTATAGCACAAGGTTCTATCTATGGGCTGTACTGGACCATGGGCCGGGCTGGAAATTCAAACGAGGCCGAATTTTTTTGACCGGATTGAACATTTACCGGGCCCAACCGAAATGGGCGGATTTCGGCCACTTTTCGGTTTTTCGGTCCGAAATCCAAAACCCTGTCCGGGACCTGCCCAACGTGTGCGACTATAGCAAGGTGGCCACCATGTACTACGACTCGTGCACGCTCCACTACTCCAACGCCTCCCGGGACCCGGCGCCGGTGGCAGCGCGGACGTATAGGTACTGGGAGAGCACAAATGTCACGTCCGAGCAGGCCCTGTTCAACAGCCTCGTGGCCAGGCTCGTGAACGCCACCGCGGACTACGCCGCGTACAACTCCACACGCCGGTACGCCTCCGGGGAGGCCGACTTCGACCGGGAGTTTCCCAAGATCTACAGCTGGGGGCAGTGCACGCCCGACCTCACCGGGCCGCAGTGCCGACAGTGCCTCGCCAAGAACACGGTGCTGCTGCCGGAGTATTTCGTGGACAGCACAGGAGCCAGAGCTCTGCAGGTCAGGTGCAGCTTCCGGTACCAGACCTATTCCTTCTTTGATGGCCCTGTCATGGTGCGGCTGCCAGCACCATCATCGAGCACCCAAGCACCCGCGCCTGCTCCTGCGCCTGTTGCGGTACCCACGGGTTTGACGCCTAAGCCGGCGACGGCATCCACAAAAGGTGAGCTTTAATTTTCACCCTACCATGCTTGCATTTGCCTTGCCAACGATTTAGCACAGTGATTGACAACAAACCATTCAGTGTCAAACTTTGCCAAATTTTGAAGCACGCTAATAACTTTTCTGTACCTACCTTCTAACAAAAAGGAGCCATGTGGAAAATACTGTCGAGTTAGAGGGCCTAGAGAAAAAAAGTTTAAGTTTACAAACCAAGTGAGATAGCAACCCAAATTTTGAGAGAAATATGGAAAAAAAAAACAGTTTTGCTAGAACTCATCTAGATGAGATATAATTTGGTCTCATTCACCTTTTATAGCCATTGGATGTGATGCTATAAGATGCGTGTATGCTGACGTGGGTTGTATCTATTCTTGTTTCCAAAGTGAATGAGACCAAATTATATCTCATTTAGATGAGTTCTAGGTACTCCCAAAAAAAATCCCTTTTCTAACACATGTTTTCCATTTGAGCTGACATTTTTATTGTACATTGCTCAATTCACAGGTAGAAAATACAGTGTCCCTGGCATTGTTCTTATTATTCTGCTGCCTACTGTAGCTGCCATAAACCTTGTGGCTTGCTTCTTTTTCTGGAGAAGGAAGCGGCCACTAGCAAAAACAAAACAGTCAGGTATGTGCAAAATTCACCAATTTACAACGGGAAATATTTCAAAGGACCGAAAACGACCTTGACCATGTACTCGATCGTTGTGACATTGTTATCCACCATTAAACAGATCCCAGTTATTTCGCCGACGAGGAGGACAATGAAAGTGTAGACTCGATGTTGATTGACATTTCAACCTTGCGAGTTGCAACCGGGAATTTTGCAGATAGCAACAAGCTTGGTGATGGCGGATTTGGTGCCGTGTACAAGGTGCTAAATAGACATATTTCTACTAAAATTGCCAACCATATTGAGATTTTGTTAATTGAGCTTAACTTTGGTTCAATCTTTTAGGGTATTCTTCCAGACGGTGACGAAATAGCAGTGAAGAGACTATCAAAGAGCTCAACACAAGGAGTAGAGGAGCTCAAAAATGAACTCTCTTTGGTTGCAAAGCTTAGGCACAAGAACCTTGTCACACTTCTTGGCGTCTGCTTGGAGCAACAAGAGAGGCTGCTTGTCTACGAGTTCGTTCCTAACCGAAGCCTCGACCTCTTCCTTTTCGGTACTTACAACTGAAGCATGCTCAAGTCAATTATGGCCTCCTTCTCGCTACATATTCAACATTAATATATTCTATGTCCATTTAATTTAATAATAATAAGCAGATGCTGAGAAACATGTAGAACTGGATTGGGAAAAGAGGTACAAGATCATTAATGGAATTGCTCGAGGATTGCAATACCTCCATGAAGACTCCCAGCTCAGAGTGGTCCACCGTGATCTCAAAACTAGCAACATATTGCTTGACAAAGATATGAATCCGAAGATATCAGATTTTGGAATTGCGAGACTATTTGGGCAAGATCAGACCCATGGAATAACGAAACATGTCGTCGGCACATAGTAAGTACTATAACACTTATATCTGGCTAATCCAAGTGGTATGTTGCTTAATAATCTAGTGGTAAGTGGCTAAATATAGTGTACCCCACCATGTTCTTACAGCGGATATATGGCACCGGAGTACGTGATGTGTGGGAACTACTCTGTGAAATCTGATTCATTCAGCTTCGGCGTCATGGTTCTTGAGATTGTGACGGGAAGGAAGAACAATGACTACAATAATTCTGAGAAATCTCAAGATCTTCTGAATGTGGTATGTGCTTGTTGTTCGAATATCTAATCACCATTATTACTAGAGAACAACGTGTTAACCACTTAGTTGACCATAGTTTTTTTCTAACGAGGCAAAAATTTATCCATTTCATTAATTAAGAAGAGAGCTTTCCGATTAATTAGAGGAAAAACTGGTGAAAACATGCACTTCGACTTTTAAGCTCATGGCTTCCAAAAATGGTGCAGATGTGGGACCGTTGGATGGCCACAACAGTGTTGGACATGATGGATCCGTGCATGAACACCAGCTTCTCAGAGAGCTGCGTGCTAAGATGCATCCATATAGGGCTTCTGTGTGTTCAAGAAAACCCGGCTGATCGACCACTTATGTCGTCTGTGGTCATGATGCTCGGAAGCGATACCGTGCCTCTCTCTGCCCCATCTAAGCCGGCGTTCTACACCAAGGAGGCTAGCGACAACTTGGGCATCGCGTCAACTTAGCACAATTAACATGTTCTTGAGTTGAAAATTAAAGAGGTCGACTCTCTGAGCAGTTTTAACACAGGCCCTCTTACCTTCTCTTTTACTAAAGTGTATAACAGACCTGAGCTATTGATTTTATTAAATATTGATTCTGAATAACTTTTACTTTCTTACTTCCGATGTGAAAAGAAGAGGTTAGAGGGGCCATGTTAAAATTGCTCCCCCACAACCATGCTCAGCCTACCCGGCGAGACAAACCAGTCCATTGGCTCCACCACAATCCTCGACGCGCCAGTTTTCCACGAGTGGGTCATCGAGTGGAAATCAAACGACGAGCGAGTCAAAGTTGATGAGCCGCCCGCGCAAGTGGCAAAGCCGTCCGTGTCAAAGTTAAGCATCTTATTATGTGAAGACCAGGTACCGGCTAAAGAATTAGTAATCCATTGTTCGGCAAGATGCGCAGCCGTGCCCGTGGTCTAGTGGACAACGTAGGATGTGACTTGTTTTAACAATGATTCGGCCGTTTCTGCATAGACGGCCAAAACGGAACGCAGCAACTTGCGTCGCGGTGTCGTATGGGTCGTCGCCGGTGAGCTCCAGACAAAGATGATTTCTAAACACTTGTGAAAAGATTTGGTTGACGGATGATTTCGTAGCCGCCTGCCTTTAGGACTTTGACCGCATGCGTCTCCGCTCTGCGTCTACACGTACGATGACACCGAATGCCACTTGGGAATTCCATGGTTTCCTCGCGCCCCGGCTCGTCCGGCAGACTAGGTGGACTCCAAAGTCCAAGCTCAGTGGTATGGCTAGATAGCCACTAGCAGCACGTCGGGTCTATGGCCGTGGACAGACATCCATCACCTAAAATCAACGCGTTATCATATTGGGCTGATTGTCTAATAATCATCCGTATGATGATCGCAGTCAAAAAGAAAACGTTATAGTAAAGTCGCCGTACCTCCCATGAACTGCAAAATAAATCGAGCATGCTGACCTTCATATTTGGAGGTTGGGGCGAGTGGCCTTCATAAAGTCTGCTTTTCACCCAGAAGAGCGTCAATTTTTTTGAAGGACATTTCATTGAATTGATATATTGAGGTGATACAACTGTATTGAAACTTGAAAGAATGTATAGCCTCTGATAGTTTGATGGACACAACCAACAAGTCTCTTGAAATAGGCTTTCACCCCGCTTTATATATAAAGCAACGAACCAAAATATACGGCCGAACGATACAATATGATGGGGAGGTCCCCTTACGAAGCAGATAAAAAAGATACAGCATGAGCCTAGAACATGCTAACACCTCGCCGAGGCCCGAACACAGACCCCTGAGCTCAATGAAAACTCCCCCAAGAGGGTGAAGGCGCGAAGCGTCACCGCTGCCGAGTCTGAGAACAGACAAAGGTTTTCACCGTGAGCCCTGGCACAGAGACGAGATCCACGATGCCGTCTTCAAGAAGCAAGCTGTACCCACGGGCGTCGCCCACGCCAGCGCCAAAAGCACGGAGCTTTCACTTGGACACACGCCTGCACCACCAAGAGGAGTCTCGACCATGACCTCAACGAGGGTCAGCTTGTCCATCCCAGATCAGGGCACTGCCAGGGCAAGTATGAACCTCCCGCCGCTACCTCCCTGGTCGCCCACACGACCGAGAGATGAAGCCACCACTGTTACCACGAAGCATGTCGGAAAGCCAACCGTGGAGCCCACCATCCGGGACCGCCATCCCGGCATCCATGCCACTGGGAACCGCCGATCATCCACGTCTCGACCACCCAACCACAGTAGTAAGAGTGAAAGGGGCCACCTTTCACTCCCAGCATGCCATCAGCCACCGGGTTTGGGTCGGCACCTCCATAGTAGGAAACGTCCATGCCTGTGTCCCTAACCGGTCCTGGTGGACCGGGAGGGGGGGGGGGACAACCCAGACCCAGTGACTGCCGACGGCTATCGCCGAGCATGCTCGAACGCCGCCAAGTCCATGGTCATTGGCATCGATCCGTACGATGAAACAGCAACGCCCGGAGGGCAACCCTCGGACTGACGCCACAACAAGCACCAAGCAAGAGGGGCACAACACAAAGGCATCCAACGCGGACCAAGTCAACCCCCCATAGCAGAGCACCGCCGGCCGTCGTCCACCACCACAAACCAGATCTGCGTCGCCCGCTGAACGTCAGCTACCTGGATCACACCGCCGCCCAACCAAGACAACCGTGTCGCCCCAACACCTCCACGAGCACCTCCTGGACTGCACCTGCCTACCCGGAGCGCCCGCTTCGACCTGCCTCGGGCCCAAATCCGGCACAAAAATAATCATCGTTTTACAGCAAAAATATACTAGAAGATACACCATTTGTCGAACCAAATAGTCATTAGATCTACAATATTTTTTTGTCGATGATGCCAAATGTTGTATCAGTTGAAAATTACATGACTTAAATACACTAATCTTATACTTGATTCAAATTTTCTAACGTAGAGACATATATATTATAACGTGGAAACATATATATTATCACTAGTGGGAGGGGGTACTACCTCCCTTTTAACCATGCCATGTGTACTTACAGATGATAATTATGTGAGAGATCATTAAACGGGGTAAAAACTGGCAAACTATTCCCTAAATGGTGTAAGAACCAGCAAAACTTTCGCGAAATAGAATAGTCTGAGTTAAAAACTGTTAATGAGAAAATTTGTGCATAAAATGTTAAAGCAAAGGAAATTAAAGGTGAAGCTGCTATACGCAAACGTTGAGAAATTAAACGTGGCCCGAGTTGCGTGAGTGGATGGCGGCTTCAGTGCCAACTGCCAATCGCCATGGTCGGCAACTTGCTATTAAATTTTCCCCGTTTTCAGAAGCAGCTACCTTTGCTCGTCCACCGTGCTGCTCTTCTCAATGGCGGCCCACCGTCTCGCCCTGTCTGTGCTCGTCCTTGCCGTCTTACTGCTCGCGCACGGCGGCCACGTCGCAGGAGAGCCGTGGCCACTGTGCGGCGACGGCGGCGAATTCGACGACAAGAGCCAGTACCAGGCCAACCTCAACCTCACCGCCGCCGCGCTCCCCAAGAACGCGTCGGCGTCGCCCAACCTCTTCGCCACCGCCGAGGCCGGCGCCGTCCCGGAGAAGGTCACGGCCCTCGCGCTCTGCCGCGGTGACGCCAGCTCCAGGGCCTGCTCCAGCTGCCTCGTCAACGCCTTCGCCAACCTCCAGAACGTCTGCCCCGGCTCCAAGGACGCCGTCATCTACTACGACGCCTGCATGCTCCGCTACTCCGACGTCCAGTTCCTCCCCGCCGACGACTCCGGCCCCATGGGCCTGGACCTCAGCATCACGGTCCGCAACTCGGGGAACGCCACGTCGGAGCCGGGACGGTACCAGCGCACCGTGGCCACGCTCCTGAACGCCACCGCCGACTACGCCGCGTACAACTCCACGCGGCGGTACGCCACCGGCCAAGCCGACCTGGACCGGGAGTTCCCCAAGGTGTACAGCTGGGCGCAGTGCACCCCGGACCTGACGCCGGGCCGGTGCCGGGACTGCCTCGCCCAGATCTTAGCTCAGCTGCCGTTGCAGTTCATGGACAGTATCGGCGGCAGGCTTCTTGCTCCCCGATGCAGCTTCCGCTACGAGACCAAGCCCTTCATGAATGGCCCGGTGATCGTGAAGCTGCCGGCGCGATCTGGAGCGCCGGCGCCGGCCGTAGTGCCCATGGCTCCTGCATCGGCGACATCAGAGGGTGAGTGTTTAACTTCTCATGTGCTACTCTCCTTTCGCTGTGCATCCCCTCTGCTCTTCTTCCTCTGCTTTCCTCTACTCTACTCGCCTTCTCCGGCCGCTCAAACTTCAATTTTGTGAAACCTCTTATTGAACTCAAATATAGTTACCTGACACGACACACGAGTTATCTTAAATTGCCAAATTCACAGGGAGAAAGTACAGTGCTCCTGGCATGGTACTTATAATTCTGTTGCCCACGATAGCAGCCATAAACCTCGTCGCTTGGCTCTTTACATTGAGGAGGAGGCGGCGCCAGGCATTCACAAAGGCAAAGCAACCAGGTATACATGTCAGTTTGTCAGGCAAAACTCTCCAGCTACAGTGTCAGAGCCTAAAATGAAACAAACAAACATTTTATGCACTTATGTCAGTGACATCGGCATCTATTTTATATTAAAACAGATCAAAATTATTCCATCGATGAAGCGCAAGACATCGAAAGTGTAGAGTCAATGTTAATTGACATTTCAACTTTGCGAGCGGCAACCAAGGATTTTGCGGAGAACAACAAACTTGGTGAAGGCGGATTTGGCCCCGTGTTCAAGGTACTGAACTATCCTATATATCTTGAAGCCAGCAGGCAATTATGCATAACATTGAAAATTTTGTGGTTTAGCTAAAGCTTTCATACAATTTATTCAGGGTACTCTCTTGAACGGCGATGAGATCGCTGTGAAGAGACTCTCCAAGAGCTCAACGCAAGGGGTGGAGGAGCTCAAGAATGAGCTCGCCTTGGTTGCAAAGCTGAAGCACAAGAACCTTGTAAGACTGGTCGGCGTCTGCTTGGAGCAACAAGAGAGGCTGCTCATCTATGAGTTTGTTCCTAACCGAAGCCTCGATCTGATCCTTTTCGGTAACTAGTCCAGCCATGATTCTATTCTCCGTTTTCTCCACAGATTGAAATAAGAATGTAACATCACACTGATCTTAATACTTTTTTCTAATTATTTTGATGAAAAAGCAGATGAAGAGAAACGTCAGCAACTGGATTGGGAAACAAGGTGCAAGATCATAAACGGAGTCGCTCGAGGCTTGCAGTACCTCCATGAAGACTCTCAGCTCAAAGTAGTCCATCGTGACCTCAAAGCGAGCAATGTCTTGCTAGACATGAACATGAACCCCAAGATTTCAGATTTTGGCCTCGCCAAAATTTTCGGGAGAGACCAGACACAGGGCGTGACGAACCGCATCGTCGGCACACAGTAAGTAGTAGCATGTAAGACAGTAAGTTTTCCAGCAGTAGGTAGCTCACTATGAGCTCTTCTCATTGGTTGTTTAGTGGATACATGGCGCCCGAGTACGTGATGCGCGGGAACTACTCTGCGAAATCAGACACGTTCAGCTTTGGCGTATTGCAACTCCCAACAATCTCAGGATCTCCTGACGACCGTACGTGCTTGTTATCTGAATGTCTGACTAACTAACCTGCAGGCTGCAGTGCAGTTTGGCTCATCGATCCTACAAATCGTGCAGGTATGGGAGCATTGGACGGCTGGAACAGTACTGGAGATGCTAGACCCGTGCATGAACAAGAGCTTCTCGGAGAGCGATGCGCTGAGGTGCATCCATGTCGGGCTTCTCTGCATCCAGGGCAACCCAACAGACCGGCCGATGATGTCCACGGTGGCCATGATGCTCGGCAGCGACACATTCTCTCTCCCGGCTCCCTCCAAGCCGGCGTTCTACTCTAGAAACGCCGGCGCCAATTCAAGCACCGGGTCAAGCGTCTCGATCCCGTCAGTGCAGGCCCGATCATAGAGTTTACTTAATAGTTCGCTTGCCGATTAACGTTCAACCGTAAAAAGGGGGTGTGCACACACTTCTACTCCCTCCGTTCCAAATTACTCGTCCTGGTTTTAGTTCAAATTTGAGCTAAAACTACGACGAGTAATTTGGAACAGAGGGAGTAGCTATCATGGTAGTCTTCCATACCTATGAGGAATAAATGATTGCTAATCAGCAACTGATCATTTTAGTTCTCATTTGCGAGAAATCATTTTAATTTGGACAACTACCATAGTTTTGTTCCCCTAAGGACATCTTGACCTCCGACTCGCAAATTTTCTCCCACATCCGTTTGCTGACAGGGGACCAATCTGCAAACATGTACGTGGGAGCCGGCCATCCAACGTTGCTTGCATACATCCGGCCTCCCTAATATATTTTTAGGTCCACACATTTAAATAGCTGCATACATAGACTACACACATTCAAATGTTCAAATGCAGTAGTAGTTTAAATTTAAAAAAATCAAATATTACATTTCAACATTGTTGTCCCCGTTAACCGCTCACATATGCTCAATCGAAACTTCATATTGCTCCTCATGAGTTGGTCGATGCCGAATTTCTTAATGCATTCGAATAAACTCTTCAAATATGACCGAATTCTGCTCTGAAAGTTCGACAGGATCACCCATGTTCTCAAATTCTAATGCTTTAAAAAAGCGCTCACACTCAGCCGGCTCCTTCTGCTAGGCTGCTAGTTATGACCTGTTTCCTCCTTGCCCTTGTCCACAAAATGTCCCCAAATCACGCCGCACCCGCTGCCGCACCTCGCCACTGGTGGCTCCTAAAGAGCGCCGTTTCAGTGGAGCGCCCTAGCCCTGATGCTCCCTTCTTGAGTTGCATGGGCGCCTGCTTCGCCGTCGGCAGTTCCGCAATAGCGTTCTGTCCGAAGCAAGCACAACGACTGTCCTTTCCCAGGCGGTGCTTGAGAATGCACGCGGCGCGTGTGTGTGTGTG